GTAAATCAGCATCAACATTTAAAGGATTATGAATTGGTTCACCTAATGTTGAGATAAAAGGAATTGGTGGAATATCATGAGTATGTATCATAATTGTAGCCATATGAGCTACATTGGATAATTTGTATAAATAGGGTTTCTTGCTTGATGAATATCATGATAACCATCAATCAACAACACATTAAGGAAATTAAGCTTTAAAAATAGATAAAAAAATTTATTATTTCAAATTAATAAATATTAATCTATTTCAATCATACTTTATTTCTTAAATATTCCAGTAATCTTTCTTCATGACTTTTTACTATATTTTTTTTTTCTCTTATTACAGTTTTATATGTAGTTGTAAATCCCAAATTTGATAAAGTGTCTATAGTTGATGCTGAAGTACCTGAGCTAGACAAATATAAATCATTTTTTTTTTTGCAGAAGTTTACCTTTTTTTTAAAATTGTATAATGTTGTTAAATTTTTTGAAACAGGATTCAAAAAAACCAATTAATTCAGGATCTCTTGTTTCAATCATTTTGATAAATTCATCAGGATCATTTATAGGCTCATTATTTTCATGACATTGATAGTTGTCAAGAACAGTTGTTAATCTTTTGATTTTGTCATTGAAAATACTTGAAAAATTAACTGCATCTAAAGATGTATACATAAAGTTATTAATTTTGAATCAATATATCATTATGTTAAATAAAAATAATATATATATATAAATATGTAATGATATTTTTTCATCAAATGATCTGTTATTATTATTATCATCATAAAGAGAATGAACTGTATATCATCAATATATTTATATTCTAAATCTTTTACCTGTCATTTCATTTATTGAATACATTGTAAGAGCTTCTATTTCTTTTTTAATTTTGTTATCTCATTTTGTAATTCTTCAATTGAAGCTAAAGAATTATTATTATTAGTTGCAATATTTTCAGTTGACTTATGTCTTTTAAATGACTTGTTATCATTTTTCTTGTTGTATTTTTGATTCCTGTCATATTGTACCACAAAATTATAACAATTTGAAAAAAGAGAATCTTTCTTCTTTACAGTAATTGCAGAATTGATTTTAGGCGGCATTTAACTTTTATAAAATAGATTGCAATTTTGAAAAGTGTAATCTTCTCTGTGACCTTTTGGCAGTTTGTATAAAACAACTAGGAGAATAATATATTGAAGTTTGAATGGTCGTTAATTAGTACACTTGTACCCACTTTAATTGATGGGACTAGTTGATTATTTTAAACAATATAAATAATTCGTGTAACATTTTATGTGATATTTGAATGTCCACCATGCTGTTTTTAAGGGATTTTTTGCTGTTTTGGGTCTGTTTCATTTCGTCGACAGTCATTTCGTCGAGAGTTTGTTTCATCGAAAGTTCGTTTCGTCGAATGTTCATTTTGTCGAAAATTTGTTTCATCGAAAGTTCATTTCGTCGAAAATTATTTCGTCACAAAAAAAAACTTCATTAAACAAATTTCTCCTCACTCTCCTCACACTTCCCACACACCCCGCTTTCCTCACCTAATTTCTTAACTAACTTCCCACACTCCTCACATCTAACTCGTTCGGTCTCTGGCTCGAGGATGAAATAATTTTCGACGAAATAAAAATTCGACGAAGCGAACTTTCGAGAAGCGAACTTTCGACGAAACGAACTTTCGACGAAATGGGTGTCGACGAAATAATTTTCGACGAAGTAAACGCGACCGCAATTGGGTAACTTCAAAATACTAAAACAAAAAAAAATTATATCATTTTAAAAAATTTAACCGATAAGTTTTATTGTTCATGACTCAAGCTCCAAAACCTATTGGCTGGTTTTTTCTTAAACTGAAAATTGGCATTTTGAAAATTCCGAGTTTTGTTATACATTTAAGAAATTGAGACTAAGTAAATTTCGTATAACAACTTTTTTTATAGAATATTTTCTACGACATAAATTGATTTATTTGATTTATTTATTTCCTTTTGTTTATTAATAAATAAAAGTTTTTTACAACAAAAAGTTTAACGAACATATTTACATTAAAAGAAAATCATTATCAAATTTGGTCATGAGATTCAAAATATTGTAACACGAAAATTATTGTTTGCACTTCTGAGCATAACTTTCAAATATATATGAAAAGAAAATTTGAGACAATTTTTTCTTTAGATTAATAGACTCCTTTTTAAAGCTGAATTGAATGGTGGCGGGTTTTTTAAAATCCAATGTGTGGATCACATAATATTTCAAAAATTTTAACTTTTGTGTATAGATGATCCGCATTGTATATAGCTTCTATCAAATGTGGTAAAAGTCAAAGAGATTATTAACAGTCCATTTCATGAATTTAAATCAGAAATCTCATATCAAATATTCCTATGGATTTCAAGCATCAAGAATACCTCTATAAATAATAATATTGTCTTTTTACCAGAAATAAATTTAAAGATGTTACTGGTTCAAACCAATATAAAAAGCTAACAATTAAAAAATTCTAGAAGGGCACGGTGTGATAAACTATTAATATCACAATCACATTACAGTTGTGCCATTTAGTAAATTTATCACTTTGTACCACAGAAATTGTTTTTGTTTGCAATAAATATAGTGTATAAATAATATGTATGTATGTATGTATGTAAGGTGGTTGGTACACGCAAAAATCCAAAATCATCAATAAAGAATACGAAAAAGACTATTTAGTAATACTAAGTCAGGTATTAAGAAGAAAGTGAACTCACACGTTTTTACAATCATATTTTTATGAATGAAGATTCTAATTTTCCAATTTTAAAATTTCGGTCGTGCTTTCATTTAATTAATTTATGAAAAAAAATGTTCATTTAAAAATGATTTTCTGCTTGATTAATTATATTAAAGAGAATAATTTTTCTTTTTTAAAAAAGTACAATGTCACGTCATCAAGACTTGTTTCTTTTTTGAAAAAAAGTTCACAGCATTTCTCATTCTTATCTAATTACACAACCTACCCTCCATACTCAACAGGTTATCAAATCACATAATTCACACATAATCTACATAATCAATATTTCTTTGCCAATTCAAATGAATCTTCATTTATTATTATTATTTACAATATTTCTTTTTTAACCTTATATTAATAATTAATAAGAATTATATAATTTTCTTGTGTACCCAAAAGAAAAATTTAACGTTGGGACAGTTGAAAAAAAAAAATTTTTTCACCCTTCCGTTCTCTTCTTCCTTTTCGCTACACTAATACGACCTACCCTTTTATTATTCCTTTTATTCCTCTCTACCTTAGTACTTTTTAATTTCAAAGAATTTTTAAAATTTCCAATTTACAAATTATAAAAACCAAAAAAAAATATTAAAAATAAAAAATATATAAAAAAAAAATAAAAAATAAATAGTGTATATATATACTATATTTATTTATACTTATATTTTTTTTATTAATAGCATAAAAAAAAATGCCAAACGATCCTCATACTAACCGTGGTAGTCAAGAACAAGTTGAAAGTAATGGTATAGCTACTACTACTAATCCTAATAGTACTACTACTGTTGCTGCTGTTGCTGCTGCTGTTGCTGCTGCTGGCACTACTAGCACTACCCCAACTTCTCCAACTACTGTCCTTACTTCAACAAACAATGGAACAACCTCGACAACATCTACTACCGCCACCGCTACCGCTATTACTACTACACCGCCCTCTTCTAATCCTTCTTCCATCATTAATGGTCAAGTAACTGCTGTTATCCCCCCCACTGCCAATCCTCAATCACTTTTCAACTCCTCTTTCATCAATATTACTAATAATGATCAAGCAAATCCTGTAGCTGATAAAGGCGATGTTGCTAAAGAAGAGGAGGCTATTAAAGAAGAATTATCCAGAGAAAGTAGTGAAACTAATATTGATATAAGCAAATCAACACTTACACTTAGAGCTTTGGTATCTACTAAAGAAGCTGGTGTTATTATTGGTAAAGCTGGTAAAAATGTTGCTGAACTTAGGGAAGTAACTGGAGTAAAAGCTGGTGTAACAAAAGTTGTTCAAGGCGTTCAAGACAGAGTATTGTCTGTTGTAGGTACACTTGAAGGTGTTGCGAAGGTAATTGATGAATTGATGAGTTGATAATTATGATTTACAAGTAAAATAAATAACAAATAATTTATGTATTAATTATTTATAAATTTATTATATGTATATATATACACATTATAGGCATATTCATTGATCGCACAAACACTTCTTGAGAATCCTGTCAATGCTAGTCCTAATTCTACACCTATCACGCCACCACCTAATGCTTACACTTCTGTCCGTCTGCTTATATCCCATAATTTAATGGGTACTATTATTGGTAGACAAGGTCTTAAGATTAAACATATTCAAGATGTCTCCAGTGCTAGAATGGTAGCATCAAAAGAAATGTTACCACAAAGCACAGAAAGAGTTGTTGAAGTTCAAGGAACGGTTGAAGCTATACGTTTAGCAGTTTGGGAAATTGGTAGATGCCTTATTGAAGATAATGAACGTGGTATTGGAACTGTATTATATAATCCTGCCATTAGGGTCACCTCAACTTATCCCCCAATCCGTAGAAATGATTACACCACTCGCACAGGAAATGGTACCGATTTCACTCGTCCACTTAACAACAGAA